GATAATTTATTTACGAAACTATATCCAATTAATAGGGTCTTAGAAATCAAGTTAGTAGGTATATGGCTCACCAAAACTGGCTGCAGCTCTATTTTTCAATGTTCATTTGAAAAACAGTCCAATTAAAATATAAAAAAAAAATTTAAACATGTATGGTATATTTTCTTGCATGATAATCAACAGCTAGTATTCAAATAAACACAAGGTCTGATGATTAATATTATCAAATTTATGATTAAGGCAAGGCGTATTAACCACATACGTAAATATGATTAAAATGGAAAACTGTAAACAATTTATAGAAAATCAAGATTTTGAAAATATTTCTTTCTTTAAAAAAAAAGGATTTTTTTATGTATGAAGAAAGCGCAGGCGATTTTGTCGTCCAGTAATGTTGGCAATGGAAGAGGTCACAAGTGGAAAGAAGAAACAAGAACCGGGACCATTGTCTACGTGGGACCTACATAAAATGGGTGTTCCGACGAATCAGGACCGCTCAATTTCTTAACCTGCCTACAATCGGGCGGTTTATAGTGGACCACGTAAAGCTGGCTCCTCCCGTTATCCTTTAGTCCAGACATAACCAAAACGAGAACGGCCAATTTGTAGAGAAATTCCGTAATTCTTTTTGTATTCCCCTTCCAAAATAAGGTATTTATCTTTTCACTCGTCAATTTCTTGTAAATATTAGGGACGCGGAATGAATATTTGAAAAAAATACAGTATTTGCAAGTCGATTAATTTTTTTACATATATCTAATTTTTTAATTTGTTTTGTATCAAAAAATTTCGAATATTCAAAACTATGGATATTGGATATTTACGGATATCAGTTTTAAACAAACATAATAATCAAACACCATAATTTATTTTTTTAATATAATATTTAATCTTTTTTTTTTGGTCACCATGTAATAGTTGATCTAACTAATATTTAAATATATAAATTATCAAGTTTTATTTGATATAATTAAAGAAAAATGAATAATGGACGATAAGAATGGTGAAAAATTTAACATAGATTTATCGATGTTTATATTATCGATGGTAAGCTACATCAGTTTCCATTCTCAATTTCACTGCTAGCTAGTGCGCTGCTCACATGATTAACAGAGTTGGTAACTTCATCAGCGGTGGCCACATCTTGATTGCCTCCTTCTTGTTCTTCTTCTACGCCTGAAGTGTCGATATCTGTTGGTCGAATCACAGTTGGCTCTAAAACAGTTGCAGCTATTGGCTCGGCAGCGATCATGTGTGGAGGGGAAAACTCAACGGGATGGCATCCGGGCCAAACCGTTCTTGGTACAAAACCCGACACATTGTGCTGCCATGGGAACTGATTGGGATGGAAAGGACCACTGGTTACAGGATAAGTACTTGTGGGGACTGATTGAGTGTAAGGAGGAGGGTAAACAAAAGACATTGGCTGCATCATGTTTGGAGTTGTAGGCGGTGACGGGTAAGGAGGAGGAGGAGGTCCGTGATGAAGAGTCATTTTCACTGGCCACGGTCCAATGTTAATGCCTATTGGAGTAGGACCTAAAATACTTGGAGGTGATGATGGGTTGAACGGAGCAGCTGAAGCAGACAGCTTCTTGTTAGGTAATAATAATCCTCGCGGGGCATCGCTTGAGTCTGTAGCAGATACTCCCAGTTTTTCTTTCCGATCATCAGAATCAACTGCTGACTGGTCTCTCACTTCTTGCTCTGTGGCCGAGTGCATATCTGTTACACCGTCATTTATCAATTCAGCTTCGAGTACTTGTTCTTCCACCTGAATACCACCACCAGATTCTTCGTCATTCAAATTGTTCCCTTTGTCTACCACTTCAGATGATTGCAACTCAACTTTAATCTCTTCGCCTTGAGTTTTGCTATAATCTGTGTCTTCAGAAACTTCATTTTTTACCTCTTCATCTGACACACTTACCATCATCTGCTCATCCCTTGTAAGCTCCATCGATGTACCCTGTTCGGTTTCTTTCTCCTCTTGCTTGTCTGAAACTTCGGCTTGTGGAGCCCAGACTTGATACTTGGCAATGGAGCCAGGTGGTGCCAATGCTACTTCCTTGTAGGATGGAGATTTTCCAAGACTT